CTTCTAGGTATGCTATACCACTTCTAGGTATACTATAACTGAAGAAATTAAAGTCAGAATACAATAGCAATACTTGTAACCCATGTATATCATAGCACTACTCCTAATAACCAAGTTAAGGAATCAGCCTAAATGTCCATTAGTGAATAAATAAATAAAGTTACATATATATCAGCTACAGAGAAGAAACAAGCCATGTCATTTGCAAGAAAATTAAATGAGACATCACCATGTTTATTAATATCTGGTTTATTAACCAGACTCAGAAAGACAAGTATCACATGTTTTCTTTCATATATGAAACCTAGAAAAAAGATGACATGAACAGAGCAGGGGACAATTAGAGAAGGAGCAGGGAAACAGAGGGAGGGATGGTAAGAGATGGTGAAAGGAGGGTAGATACAATCTTAAGAACATTATATGCAAACATAAAGCTGCCACATAAAACTCTATTATTATTTTGTTCATTTAGTATCTGCTAATAATTATAAGAAAAATACTGCTCCTAATGTCTTAAGCAAATAGTTAATTCTCAGAATCCAAATATTTTACAGTGAATCTCAATAAATCTATACTATAACTTAATAGACATTTTAATTCTATCATATGCTATTTACATATCTGAATTTTGTGCTCTGCATTTATTATGGACTATTAAAAAAACTTTTGTGGCTTTAATATACTGATTTATTATTGTCCTATGGGTTTATTTATTGACACTTCTTTTTATTGCAAAAAGGATGATGATGGCATCCTGAACAAAATTAATTTATCAATAAGAATAAAGAGAAAATAAGCTAAAAAGTAAATGACATTTAATTCACAGTGATGATCTTTCATTTCATTCATAATATCTAGAACATTTTTGATTATAGGATTTCATTTTGATAATTGTTGTTTGAATTATTAAGTTCTTTTCATTAACTTTGCTTTAGTAGATAAATTTAAACTAAAAATCGATCACATTTCATTGTTTGGTGAACATTCACCTCCATTTTCAAAGGTTACATGGGCAGGGAAGTGTTACTTCTTTTTGGAACTTTAGTGCAACTACAAGATATTGTCATATCACTGCTTATTGAGTCTGTGGGACATTGTCCTTATCACATCAGAAGTTTCTCCAGTCCACAAATCTCTCACTTCAAGTTTAAATTGCTTTGGGAATTGGGAACAATTATAATGACTGCTGGATAAAAATATTTACTCTTCTATATCTGTGGAATTGGGTAACTTTTTTGAAGCTGAGTTTAATTAGAATGCTGAAATAAATATTATGAAGAAAGTGCTTTGTTCTGATAAAAGGTGGAAATAATTTATCCTTATAAAGGTAAGTGCTGAGTACTGAAAATTGCACCATTATTAAACTCAATTAAACTCAATCTGGAACTAAAGCTGTAGCCAATATACACTTATAATACAAGTAACCTGAAGAAATACAGTTATTGATTTATTTTCACCAAATACACCAGGAATTATTACTTTATTATTTATGTATATCTAATAACTAAAACAATTTCCACACACTTTTTCATTATTTCCTTACTATATCGATGTGGGAAAATTAAGGTAAGTATTTTTATCACTATTTTACAAATGAAAAAACTGAGTCTATATAATCATCAACAAACACACTGAAGCCAAAGACTTTGATTCTAGTCTGAGATACTTTTCCATTCTGCTAACTGTATGTCACATGTGTCCTAGTGAGAATTAGGTGCACTCTGTGTACTTGGAGTTCATAAACTGGTGATTATCTACATATGATGGACGCTTGTTAGTACTGACTGAAAGATGCTTAGAAATTAAAGCCTGTTATAAATGAATAACTTGGGTATATTAAATGGTCCTTAAGTTTAATCTACAAATACTGCACAGGGAAATTGTTTAAGGGCTATGTTAGATTTAGATGTAGAGGGATGAGCAAGAGCCTCCAACTGTTCCCTATGCCTCTTATTACCTCCCAGTATACAAAGTAACAAATTTAAAGTGGTGGGAGCAGAAGAAAATTAAAGACAGAAATACCACCTGGCTCAAGGTGAACTTGACTTGGTGGAAGAGTTAGAGCCTAGGAAGGGTGAGTCTTAGAGCAAGCGGCAGGAGGGAAAGTTCAGGTAGCCTAAAGTGCATTGTCACAACATTTATATGGAATGTGAAGATAGAAGGCTCTTCAAGCCTGGATTCCAAGAGGGCCTGACCTGGAATATTGCCACATGTCTTGGTAAGTCATTATTATATTGTCTTCTTCCTTATACTTTTGTAACTAGATTGATCAAAGTGTTCATCTTCTTTATCCAGTGTAACCCATGACCAATTTCTAAACCTCACTTGAGGAGAATTTTGGTTTATCGTAAGAAGTACTGTAGAACAAGTGTAATATCATTGCCCTGTCACTGGGCACTGTTGAATGAGTACAGTCAATTCATCTTTATGACCCCAAATTCTATATGGTTCTCTCTGACCATTCTCTTTTTGATATATTAAAGCTATATAAATTTTAGTGTTACCAATCAAGTGAAGTAGTAATGTAAAGAGAATTGGCTTTGGATGTTGCCTCTTCCATTATTGCCCATGTGACCTTGGCCTAGTGAGTTATTTCCAGTGCTAAATGTAGACATAGGATGCTGCAATACAATTGGATAGATTAAATGAAGATGTTTTCCTCTTCTCCTCTCTCTCCCCTCTCCTCCCCTCTTCTTCCCTCCCCTTCCCTCCCTTCTTCTTCTCTCCTCTTCTCTCTTCTCTTCTGTCTGAGATTCTATTCTTAGGCTGAAAAAATAAAAAGTAACAATCTCTTTGGGGCCCAGTTTTTCATAAGATTAAGATTGTATACTCCCTTGTTTGTCACTCCCTTAAACATTTAAATATTTCTATTTTTTACTAAATGTTTCCATGTACGGAGAATAATCTAATTAAGTTGGATTTATGATAAAACTAATGTTTGCTTTAGTAATTTTCCCAGGTGCTATCATACAGTATGAATCTCATGTGCTGAAATTCCCCAAACTATTAGTCCATGCAAGACCTAAATATATCCTGGTGGTGACTATGGAAAGAACAGTTTGTATATCTAGTCAGCAATTAGTGACAATCCCACTAATCTAAATATTTTAATTCCTTTAGTTACATTGCTGTTCAAAACTCTCATCTCATACTGTGTGAAGTCAAGCTTAGATAGATGTTAAAGTCAGTCCTAGGCTAATTCGTCATCCAGTGATCTTTACTTTCTAGTGATAGACCCCCCCTTCCCTAAAAGAAGCATCAAACTCTTTTTCTCCAATGTCAGAGACTTTCTCCATGCTTGATTCACTTTCCTTCTCAGAAGTACTTGCCACTACTCCTTCATGGAAGTACTTTTGTCCAAAACAGATGTACTGAATCTCCTAATTTTGGCTCAACTTCTTACATTTGACTCCCCTGTTCAATTCCCCTCTTCTCTTACAAACCCACCTTTTTATTTCCATGTTTCTGGATCGAACCTAAATTTGAAACTACTCTTAAAGTCTCTCTTGTTTGATTTGTTTCTCCTAAATTTCTTCCTTCTTGAAAAATCTATAATTATAACTCACACTACAATATATAAATATACATATTTCATATATATTTTCTATTTTCCCAATTTACAGTGGCAATATTTCCCATTTATTCTTTATTTATTCTTACTGTGTTACTTGTGTGGGATATGACTGGTTTTAAGGTTGGCTGTTAATGATAACCTAAAATTATTGTAGTAGTTTTGTGTAAGTTTATTCTGCCTTTTAGAATGTGCTCTTCTATATTTAACAATATGGCATCAATCTGGAGTTTTCTGTAAAACACAAAAGAATTACAGTCTTGAATTTTTGCAGATGGTTATCACAATGCATATAATAAACCAAAAGGAAATTGATTTGAATCAAAACATGTAGATAATCTGCCAGCTCAGTATATATTAAGGCCTCCTACTCAAGTGTTTTGGAACCAATTGCACAAAAATCATCTTGGGCACTTAGGAGAAATTCAGATCTCGGGACCTATGCTGTACACTGAAACATCTGAAGATTTTCATTATCATCAGGTGCTTAATATGTATGTGGAAATTAGTGAACTCCTTAACTGAACTTGGTGTCAAAGATCTTACCTTCAAACTAAACTTTACTATTTATTACCTGCTTTATCTTGGTCAAGATTCATCTTTTATATTTGGAAAAAATAAGATAATATAAAGAATATTGTACTTTGTAAAAACAGAGTAAAATATGCACACTTATATGCAAACTTATACAAAATATTTGAATATTAGTACTATTTTTAGGCTGGCTTAAACATGGAAATTATGAGAATAAAATCTGAAGCTGTAGAATAAAATATGTAGAGACAATGTAATGTTCTCCATCATGATAATGTGAAGCTTGTCTATGCAATGATCTTGTCATAGGAATGATCATACAAGATAAGGCTAGGCTGAAACATGGGATAAGCAACTAACTATGCCTTTAATCAGATGTTGTTTTAGTTTATGCTATCAATTTACTGTGATTAAATGTTGATAATATACACAACATGAGGCATGTAGTGTCAGGCTTGAAAAGAAATATATTTTTAAAAGTTGCTGTGATATTTCAGTTACTTTGTAATTACTGAATGAATATTCCAGTCCTTGTTGAATAGTATTTCCACTGCTCATTGCTGGATCAGATAGGATGAAGAAGTCAGCCTTACAGTTGATAATTAATCAGGGGCTTTATAAACATCAACTGAGGAATGAGTCCTCCACAGCAAGAAAGGTTACTTCTGTATGTGCGTCTGAATATGGGTAAATATTCACATGTTGGCAATGGGGCAAAGGTATTTCCAACTTCATTGAATAGTAGAAATACACATCATTCGATAAGTATGATAGAACTTCAAGCAAGAACTCTCAATGCATTGTAAAAATTATTGTTCATGTATTTTTTACTATTTCTTTCTTGGCAATAGATATATTTTTTCAAGTCTTCTTTTGACATGAAGAAGTGAATATCATGGATATGATTAACCAGACATTTGTGTCAGAATTTCTTCTTCTGGGTCTTTTAGGATACCCAAAGACTGAGATCATTTACTTTGCTGTGATTCTAGTTATGTACCTAGCAATTCTAACTGGCAATGGTATTCTGATCATAGCAAGCATCTTTGATTCCCGTCTTCACACTCCCATGTACTTCTTCCTGGGGAACCTCTCTTTCCTGGATATCTGCTACACATCTTCCTCTGTTCCATCAACTCTGGTGAGCTTAATCTCAAAGAGAAGAAACATTTCCTTCTCTGGATGTGCAGTGCAGATGTTCTTTGGATTTGCAGTGGGGTCAACAGAATGTTTGCTTCTTGGCATGATGGCTTTTGATCGCTATGTGGCCATCTGTAACCCTCTGAGGTACCCCATCATCATGAGCAAGGTGGTTTATGCTCTGATGGCTTGTGTGTCATGGTTCTCTGGTGGAATAAATTCAATTGTGCAAACATCTCTTGCCATGCAATTACCCTTCTGTGGGAATAATATTATCAATCATTTTACATGTGAGATCTTAGCTGTCCTCAAGCTCGCTTGTGCTGATATATCACTCAATATTATTACCATGATGATATCAAATATGGCCTTCCTGGTTCTCCCTCTTCTAGTTATTTTTTTCTCCTATATGTTCATCCTGTGCACCATCTTGCGAATGAACTCAGCCACAGGAAGACACAAGGCCTTTTCCACCTGCTTAGCTCATCTGACTGTGGTGATTGTATTTTATGGTACCATCTTCTTTATGTATGCAAAACCAAAGACCCAAGACCCAAATGGAAAAGACAAGTTTCAAACTTTGGACAAGCTGATTTCTTTATTTTATGGGGTAGTGACCCCCATGCTGAATCCTATAATCTATAGCTTGAGGAATAAGGATGTAAAAGCTGCTGTAAAATATATGCTGAACCAAAACCCTATTCAATAATAACAACAAGAAACGCAGGTCATTGTGTACCAGGAATAAAAATGAATTCACAGATAATTTAATGAGAACTTTTTTTTTGATAAACCATGGTTAAGGACAGAGATTTTTATTCTTAGCTTCCATTAACCATGCTCAGCTAGAATTACTGAGAATTGTAATTTAATGTGAATTCGGCTGATAGTATTCTCTGATCCAGATCTTAAAAAACACAATGAATTCCATTAGAATCCTACCCTTGGTGGTATCTGAAATGAATGTTTCTGATTGACTGGTTTGTAACAGTGGAAAACAATCGCACATAGACTTTGGGAGAGACAAAACCACAAACTCCACAATTCCTCTACCTACATAAGTAATTTTAGATAGATTATTTATTCTTTCTAAGCCACAGTTATATTTCTTATAATAAATAAGTAAAATCCAGTTTGTAATATTGTTTAAAATTTCAATAAGTTGGAGAAAACAGCTAAAATAATACTGTAGTCATACTATTAAACAATTTTAGAATTGAAGCTAAGACTTCAATTGAGGACTGTTGCTACTTAGCACCTCCTGTACTCTAAGCTAATACTTAGCAGAACTAATGCCTGCCCCCCCCCACCAAATTTAACACTTCATTCTTTCCCTACTTCCTTAAGGTTTACACAGATTCATACCTAAATCTTGCTGCCCTGTTCTGGCGCCTCTCCTCCATCCCCATTTCAGCCCCTCTATACCTAATCTCTGATTAATTCTCTTTCAAAAATTTATCACAACAAAGTTTTAAGCATGTAAAAATATTATTTCTATTATCTTAGCAAATTCCTTAGCTCCTAACTTAATTTTGTCACCACAATTTCAAAAGTGTCAATATCTTATATGTAGACTTAGGTTGAACTCATCACCTGCTTAAATATTTCATAGGCGTGTAAGAATGGGTGTGATATGGCTTTGATACAGACAAGGGGACCCATGTTTATCAATGATCAGAAAACTAACAGATTCAATAATAAGCTTCTCTCTCTGGAAAATCAGAAAATCTCCAATACATAGTTAAGTATATTGACTTTTGATTCATTAATTGGTATTTTCTAAAATTCCAAAAAGCATACAAAAATTTTTATAATTATTGCCACTTTCCCAAAATATAATTTTTAATCTTCCTTGTAATAACTAGGAGTCATAGGTTAATCATATTTTTATTTTGATTTATCAATGGATGTACTATGAGCCACTAGAGGTTAAATTTTTTAAAAATGTAAAATACAGATTTTTTTACAAGGTGAATTTAAGAAGTGAAAATAATAGGCAAGATGCCAGAATAAATTATCCTCTTAAAATTTGTACTAATCCTAAACATCATTTCAAAAGTTTGCAAATTTGTTTGCAATTCTAATTACAAACACACACACACAGGTGTCTCTACAAAAGAGGTGATCAAAACATGCAATGAATGTTTAAATTAAAAAATTTACTGCAATAAAAGATACATTGCCATCAATCCCCCCAAAATACTCCTCCTCTCTTTGAATACATTCCATCATCGTTTCCACTTTCTGAAGTTCTAGAAGTCCTCTTTAGTCTTCTTATGAGATGTAATGAAATGTGGAGAATGCTGCTGCTGAGTGCCATCCAATAGAAAGACAGGCTCAAAAAACATATTACCGTGTGTCTTCATCCACCTTGTTCACCAGTTCTGGGACTATGCAACTAGCTGTACCCCAAAGTCAAAATGACCATGAAAAGTAAACATTTTGAATAGATTCAAGACATTGGGTCAGCCATGACAGCACAACTAAAGATACACATGTAGATTTTTTTTCTCCAAAGTATTTTTTGGAAATGTTAATTTTCAAATATTTAACAAAAATAAGAATAACTTAACAAAGCACCATGTATAAATTATTCTTAAATAATTATCAGTTAAATAATTATCAGTTATCTTCTATCATTATCTCTACCCACTGTTTTTATCCTCTGGATTATTTTGATGCAAATCATTGACATAATTACATTATATTATATATTCCTGGACATAGTGGCATCATATATATGATATAATTATAAAATAAATATTTCAGATTATATAAATATGTGGACGTACAACAAATAGCACAAATTGAAGTGCATCATTCACATTGTAGTTATGAAATGCACCTTCAGGAACACATAAACCATGGCATGAACGATGCCTCCTCCAATTAAGCAGTAGGACAGTGCTGGTGAGGAACGTGAAAAGGGGACATCATTTCTCATTCTAGTGGATTTTTGTTACAAGATAATGCTGTCTATATGCTGGTTAATTTTATAAATTTCAAGAGAGGCCAGATTTTTAAACATTGTACACTTATCCAGGGCTAAATCTTTTATAGAACCCATGAGATGCCACAGTGTTTATTCCTGTAAGGCTTTCATAAAGATATAGGACAGGGCTTGCAGGAAGAAGAAATTTCAGGACAAAAGGTAGAAGTTGAAAGTTTAGTTCATAATTCCCAGGTCAATTCTGAGCAAGGGTCTTTTAGAACTTTTCAGTCAGCAGTGGTTTGTATACCAATCATATTGGTGCCATTAACCACTGGCTCCTTGAGTCGAACTTGAGCATATGTTGTGGACCCCATATGTTGATTTCTCCAAGGTACTATCATACGTGTAATAGTAACCTCTAAATATATTTTAGTTTGAGCGTGCCAAAGAGCTTTCTCTAGGATCTTTTCTAAAGGATCAGCAATCATTTCCCCTCTTTTTTATTTTTCATTTCTTTTACCTTTGGGGTAGGACTGTTAGATTCTGCCAGAGATCTCACCCATAGAGTTGGGATAAATATGGCATAAATATGGTTAATATTTCCCACTTTATTCTCAATCATGAAAAAATAGGGTTGGGTAAGTACAAAAAAATAGGCCTGTATCATGCATAAGGTTAGAAGAGGACAAAAACATTAATCTCAACTTAAAATGGTGAAAAGAAAGAATTATTGTTATTTTTTTTTTAGGAATACGGGAAGCGATAGTATTTAGTTATACTGTCACAGTGTCATGTTCAGCAAATAATCATTCTTCTGAAATTCATAAATGATATAAATGTCCCACTAATATAGAAACAGGCAAAGAAAAAGAAAAAATACTTCAGAAATACAGAAGTTTCTGTAAGTGCCTATATCATACCCAACAACTTTTCCATAAATTTCCCTTCAATATTTCAACCATGTATCCAGGGCTGATTTCCATTTAATTCTTGCAGATGTTAAGTTTTAACACATTTCCTTTGTGAAATCATGAATTTAGTTTTTTAAAATCAACCTCCAATTTTCTAAGAAGGGCTTTCAGTTATACATTTCAATTTTCATTGGTCCACATTTTTCGGTTGGAAAGATTGCCTACTGTTTGTGATATTTTGAAGTCATTGTTGAGTTTCGGCTGGAATGCCTTAATTAGATGGCCAGCCTACAAATTAAAATAATACTCTTGTTCTAGATGCAATGTGGTGTTAGTAATTACTTCATTTCCCAGGTGTTATGGTTTGGGTCTGGATGTCCCCCCAAAGCCTCATGCGGTTATAGGTGGCTGCATCTGGAGTGTGTGATGCTAGGATTAAGAGTGTGCGATTACTAAACTACTATACTTGAGTAATTGGTTTGGCACTGCCCTAATTTCGGTAGTCTGCATAAAATTAAAGGCTGCAGAAAGACACTATTAAGCACCCCCCCCCCCCGCCCCCTTGTTGCTTTTGTTACCTTCTGGCTGCCATGAGCTTTTTCTTCTCTCCAAGGCCTGTCTGCCACGCCACCCTGCCTTGGAGCCAGCTGATTATGGACTGAAACATTTTTGAATGATAAACCAAATAAACCTTTTTCCCTTTAATTTTGAGCATCGAGTATTTTTTCTCAGCAATGAGAGAAAAGTAACTAACAAACCAGGTATATAAATCAAATCCAAAACATATCTTTCAATCAAGAATCACTCATCCCTGGGGATTTAGCTCACTGGTTCTGCCGCCTGCCTGTCCCACAAGCGCAGGGACCCGAGTTCGATCCCCGGTACCAAAAAAAAAAAAAAAGAATTACGCTTATCCACCTGGAAACTTTCCAGCTACAGCATCTTCTGAATCCTTTAATTTGGGAGCTCATAATTGCATTTTGTTTCTAATTTTTGTCAAACAGAAAAAATTTAAGGTGTATTTTTTAGCTCTTAAAGGAAGAAGAAAAATGTATTTTCATTCTTTGTTGCGTTGGTTGGATGCCTCCATGCCCTCTCATCCTTTGTCCCCAAAAACTACTCCCAAAGAGAAAATACAGACTCTATTTGTCAGTTCCAGTCCTTTTCCAAATATTATGATAGACTACTCATGCCCCATTTTGATCATTTGTCTTTGGGTCCATCAGTTAAGAGTCTCAAAATTTACATCCTGCACAGTCACATAAGGTCTGTATTTTCAGACCACATCACAATGCCATATTACAATTTCACTTCTGCTCATTGGAAAAAAAATTCATATGGTTTCATTATTGTTCACATTTAGGTCCCCTGATGTATGAAGAAGGCTACAAATTCTTCCCAGATCAAATACTAACAATTACTAGGGAATATTATTTTATCATGCTTACCTCTGGTTAGCTGTAGAAAATTAAGTCTCACTAAATGGTTTTCACAGTTTTCTGTTTCTAAACTTCTAAGATGTTACAATACCAAAACAACCTTAACAAAAACAACAAAATAACCTTAACAATTTTCCATTTGTATTTAATGAATGTACACACATTGTGATTTGTGGTATGTGTATGCATGTGCACGTGCGTGCATACGTGTGTGTTTGTTTATGTCTATGGGCACATACAAAAACTGTTTTTTCAGGAAATTACTCTTTTACAGAATTCAAATATTCTACAGTAAATCTGACATCTACTGATAAATTAACAGCTGTAATCTAAGTATTAATATCTATGCTATAGCTTCATAGATTTTCCAAAAACAATTTAGTTCTATTATATCTTATCTGGCTATCTTAAATTATGTCTCAGACTA